CTCCATTCATCGCCGCTTGGGATCATTGGTTCATCTGTTTTCGCTGACTGTGGCCAGAGCCAACTGGACTGAGTTTTATTGAATCAGTCATTTAGAATCAAGTTGCAGAAACCCAACTACTTGTTCATCTTTGGTCATCAGTTACTGACCGTGTCTGTTAATGTTTCTACAGCAGGTTGAATTATAGCCAAGGTTCACTAGGAAAAGAATTGGTACCATGTTCAGATAAATGCTTGGGTATCTTCTCTTTAAATCCATACCTAAATTTTTTATCTTCCGGTCGAGAACATACAGACTAAGGTTGGGGCTGTTTCCTGTAATCGGTAGGGCAAAGACAACCATATGCATGTACTAATGCTTTGTTGGAGTTCAAACAGGTGCTCCATAGAGAGCAGCAAAACTCATACGATCTTCTTCAATGGTGCCTTATAGTGATACGATCTATTTGTGTCCGTCGCTGGTTGGGTTTTGACAAACAGTGTCTCTCCTCTTGCTAGAATTTAATTCTGGTCAGAAACGAGTGATCTTTGGAACAAAATTGAAATAGGCGATCACCTTTGTCGGTTTGTGGGTGCCGGATTCCGTGGATACTTACCAGGTTCCTTCCCGTTCGTCCAAGCTTCTTTATTTGAGCTTTGAAGTCACCTGCTATTATAATTATATCTGAACCTGTTGTTCCACGCGGTGAAATTAACAGCTTTCGGTAAAATTCATCCTATGTATTATCGAAACTGCAGTTGATTGGCACATTGGCTCTTATAAGCCTGTCTAGTCGAATGGTATGCAATTGGGTATAAGCTAAGATGCAACCTAGTAACGGGCTTCCCACTTGGTAACTTAATGCTACACCCGAATCAGGTAGCTTCTTAGAGCTAGTGACCAAATATCTCGTCAACTGCATTGTAGATTTTGCAGATTCGTCACGCTGGTTAGATGACGTAAAGTGAATATCTACAGTTGAATTCTCCATAGGTGTTTCAGTAATGCTGAATACATTTATGGTCCCAGATTTCGGATGTTTAGTTACTGGGGATTTTTCTGACTTGGAACAGGCTTCATGTGTTGAAAGCTTCAATGTACATCTGATAGCTTGATTTTAAGAGACTGGAGATGCTTTTGTTTTGGCCTTGATAATTATCGATGGTTGCGGTATCAAATATGGAGGAAACCATCAGGGGATTGACTTTAGTGACAAGCGGGTAGTAAAAGCAAAGGAAAAGACGATGGTAAGGAAGGTAGATTATGATTGATCAGTTTTTAGACATCAGTCGATGAACTAGTTGACTCTTGGTCTGAGCCATGTGGTTGGGGTCTATGAGATGATAGGAATCGGTGGTTAGGGACTCTTGGTGGCATGGTTGATGATCATTCACAGTGACTTAGATTTATCTATTCCTTGATATCTTCTCAAGCTTGAATATTTGCATTAACCGTTATATTTAAATTGTTTGTTCTCCTAGATAACTCTGTCTACTTTGATTTCACTCTTATTCTATTCCTTTGTTCCTTGCATACAACTGTGCAGTGTGGTAACTAAAACCAATGCAGTTGTGTGCCAGATTTTTACGTTGATTTTGTCTGTCCGTTTGATAATCAGAGTTGACTGAAGGCTAAACTAGTTGATATCACCTTTCAATTCCATAATCCAGGTCCGAAGCAGAGAGGAATCTTAACTACGCAACACTTTAAGTCCCTGAAAAGCTTACACAATAATCCTGATGTTATAATTCTTAAGCCCGATAACAGATGAACAAAGTAGGGTACAAAATTAAAATGTCTGTTCTTTGTGATGAAAGTAAGTTCTTGGCGGATGGTCCATCAGAGAATATAAGAAAATAAGAATGAAAAGTAATATTTGGTTTAGTTAAACTCCTTAACGTGGATGTTATTGCTAAGGCGGAGTTCAACTCCTTAAAACCCGTGGGATCTAATTTTCCCAATCTACGTAGACTTTCGAAATCAATAATCCGCTACACCCAATATTGTCAGTGTCAGTCTCCCTCACACAAATTGACGAAATGGTTAGCCGGAATACTGAGCCAGATTTCTAATGTTCTATCTAAGTTTTTTACTGAAAAATACTTTTGAACTTGCTGATTGTTTTACTGATATGAATATCCAGGATAAGAAAATGTATTCTTTTGATGTCAACTTTTTAATTAACGAATACGTCCCTAACTAACAGAGTTAATATTCTTTGCGATTATATGTCTTCGAATTATCCTTCTTTCTCTGTTTCTCCAATGAGTTTGAAAGAGTTCCTTTTACTATGTACTTACGTGGTTCATTTCACTTTCTAAGGCAAACACTTTCAGCAAGTTGATAGTGTTGCTATGGGGAATCCATTAGGACCGTCATTAGCTGATGTATATATGCCAGATACTGAACTAATGGTTCAGCATTTAATCAGTAATGTCACATTCTACGGAAGGTGTATGTTGATGATATCTTTGTGATACATGACACAGATGTGGATGCGGGGAATTTGTTAAAAAAGCCTAATACCTTACAAGATCATATCAGCCTGACATATGAGTAAGGAAATGACCATCAACTTGTGTTTCTTGATATGCTGTCGTGTCTAAGGGAAGACAGATCTATCCGACGATCAATCTATAGAAAGCTTACTTAGGCAGGACAGTACTTGAGTTTCTACAGTTTTTGTTCAATGAAATATAAGAGAGGCTTAGTAAGACGCTTATTCAATAGGACCCAATGTATTTGTACATCGGATACAGTGGATGATGAGGATAAATTTCTGACAGATACATTTATGGAAAACGGATATACATTACAGTTTGTGAACCGTTATAAACAAACAGCTAACCCGAAGCCTATAATTTTCTCAATCCCAAACAACGATATATTTCTTACATACCATAGAGAGGGGAAACAAGCAGTATGATATTGAAACATAGACTAAAGTCTGTTATTAGTAAAACAGTCTATATAGCTCAGCTTATCATTGTTGAAACGACAAAACGCCTGCTTCGCCGAAAACCTCAACCTCGCATAAATGATTCTGTCACATCCCAGTGTATTTACCAATTTACAAGTATTCATATTTTTCGGTGTTAGTTTTCTCCCGTTTGAATACTTAGGGGGAAATGATCTTGCAATGCAGACCAAGGTGCGTGAACATATACCTAAATGGCTTGAAGAACAGTTTGACACACAAACCTTGATAAGTGTAGGTGACAGACATCCATCTTCATCTATAGCAAAGCAAATGAATCATAAGGTTAGTACGAAAACAGCATTTAAGATATTATGTAAGAAGAGTCAGGTACGAAGCGTTAGACATTCGTAAACTGAAGTCCCCATTGTGTGTACAAAAACAATTTGTTGTTTCACTTAACTTACCTTGGTTATCCTTATCTGATTATATTACTAAGACTAGTATCACAACATATTCGTATTTATTATATTTGGCCTTTCATTTTCATATATAAATTGACTTGATAAGTAAATGTGTGGTCAGATTTTTCGAAATGTATTGTGCAAATAGATCACATTTTTCAGATAATCCTTGTGTTCTTGGAACCTAATCTGTAATGATAAAATTGAAATTTTTTTCCCGATACAAATTTGAATGAAGAAGCGAATTAGAAGAAGTAATGATTGGAATGACTGATATTTTTCGGTGTGACCTTTCTGTCGTTCAGACCGCCGTCCAACTATGAAAGATAATTTGTCGCGTCTGCATACTAGACTACGAAAGGATGACTGATGGACTGGAGAAAGGTGAGTGCCGAGGAAGCTTTGTGAGCAAGCATGCAAAACGCGTAGGAAGCTGAACAACGTCCCTGGCAATGCAGAAGCAATCAGTCTGTAGCACATTGCCATTCAACGGTGACGACTTGTTAGAGGTAGTTAGACTAAGACTGCCAAAAGATACTGCACTAACCAGGGAAATACAGTGCTTTGATCCTCGAAATATCTAAATGCGTATATCATTTCGAATGCATATGCGGAAGCAAATGCAAAGATCGTAAGGAGAGGCATCTGTCTACCCGAATGATTGAGCACCTACCCAAATGGTTGAGACATGCCAAGAGAAGACTCCAAGGACCTCGAAGACGAGTCACGTAATGGATTATGAGCATTTTATTGATACCTGTAAGTCCTTTACGGTTATCGGTAGACAATAAAATGAGAAATTGCCGGGAATTGTAGAGGTCTGCGCCATTCGAGTTGTCAAACCAAACCTCTGCGTTCAGAAGGAAATGGTAATCACCTTGAATCTGTCATGGTAAGAATTACAACGTCGTCTAATCAGATTCAATCATTCTTATTTGCCCTTCGCTCTTAATTATCACCCATCTTCTATTTTGTTTTCCTTCATTGATTTGTTTCGCCTAATTAACCTTATTCCTATTACCATTGTACACCTGGTTTTCTTATTACGTCTGCATAAGTACTATTAAGCATCTTTTGAATGACGTGATATACGCTTAGTTGATTCACTTCCTACCCGTGTGTCAGCATTACTATTATTATTATCTCACCTGAAATCCACTGTTATGCAAACTCATAGTTAAATATACAACATATCCCCAACTGATTCAATTTTGAACATCCATTTCTACCTTTTGCATTACCACTTCACCTATAAAAACTGTTCATTTCTACTTTGGTACACTAAATCTATGTCTCAGTCTACGTTATATATTTATAATGGGTTATAAAAGTATGTATGTATGTATGTATGTATGTATGTATGTATGTATGTATGTATGTATGTATGTATGTATGTATGTATGTATGTATGTATGTATGTATGTATGTATGAATGTATGTATGTATGTATGTATGTTCTTTTACTTGTTTAACGGTATATGTAATCAAGTGTATATAGTATGCAGCTGACGATTACTATTGAAATTTATGAATTCATTGCATCCTGCTTTTATCATATTCGTAGCTTGTCTTAAAGCCTTTTGTTTTGTTAGTCTTCATTCTTTACCACTAGTTGATAAGAATATTCCATTTGGCTTTAGGAAGAGTTTGAGTGAAGTAATACAAACGCCAGAGAAGCGACCTGAGGCAGCAACTAAACAGTATCAAATCAGTGTTCGCTTTGCTGATCGTACAAAGCATGTTATCGGAGCACGTTCATACTTTTATAAATCAGAGCATCAGTGTGATCAAAACATGGAAGAGTTTTTGAAGTGTATTAATATTTCTGCCAAGCATGGTGAAGATCCTGGATTTTCTGCAATCAAGCTTACTGCACTCGGTCGACCTCAACTCCTGGTAAAAGAATTCTTTTACAGTTTACTCTTTAGCAACAAATGTCTGATTTTTTAGTGCAAATGAAACGATTGTTTTTCCTGCTTACTGATTCACAGAACAAGGAGTTAGGCGGCAAGCTGTCATTCCTTGATTTAGAAAATTTTCGAAGAAAGCTGAAAGAATTAGGAGTGAAAATTTCATACAATGAAGACGTTCAATGGTTTACTTTGTTGGATATTTCTGGAGATGGGTATAGTTTTAAATTTGTTAATGTTATGTTCAGTATCTTAGACTTACTTGATTGGAGTCATCTAAAATCCTTTGAATATGATCTTGCAAGATTATTTAGCATTAAAAACAAAAAGGTGGGCTAATGATTCAATGATCAGTAATTGTGAATACGTTTTAAAAATTCTCTGCCTAATCCACTTTATCAAGTTTCATTGGTTTTACTAGCATCATTGTATGTAACTTGACTGTATTGTATGAAACGAAGAATTTTCTTAGCTTTGATAAATCCAGTTTTCTAATTGTCATAACCTTTTGAATTTTAGACTGGTGAAGTAGAACAACTTGTGCCCACACTTACATCCGAGGGTATTGAGGAAATGCGAAATATGATAAAACGAGTGGATACCTTAGCAAGCGTGAGTTTTTACTTTTATTGTGTTTGTGTCTTTTCGTCAAATCGTACCAAGGTGTTCCCAATGTTGTCTGTTTGAAATGTATTTACCATAGTTGAATTTAAAAAATAATGTGTTTATTTCTGACCCTTTAGATTCAATCTCAGTGATAAAGTTCATAATGTCTCCATTCATTTTGAATGAAATGGTTTGGAAAACCTGCTTAGTTTTGTAGTAAAACTTTGTTCGATGAGTAATTACTTTCAGAGAGATGAATAAGCGTACAACAAATTGATTTGTTACACATTTGTTTCAGTGAATAAAGTTGTAGCAAATGACTTCTGTCTGTGCTTTCAGTATTTTAAATCTTGAGTTGCTTTGAAAGTTTACTCTGACTCAGTTAACGGCTTGAATTAAAGCTTTCCTCTGACGTTGTTTAATGATGTTAAATAAAGCTGTTGTTTGATGTTATTGCACGTGTATCATCGTCGTTGATTGGACTGAACAAATCAGTCGTGCAAGGAGTGTCGATCGTGACTCAATAGCCTAATGGGTAACGCTCTGACGTTTGAAGAGATTCATCGTGGGTTCGGGCCCTAGGGGGAACAACATCATCCAGTTGGATGTAGGTATATCCAGGTGACAAGTCCCAAATAGGATGAAATGTACGTCCTGAATCCTACTGCTAGCCTCTATCGATCAGTAATATTAAAACTGTTGTTATTCAGTCACATTGAGTACTACAAAACCATGATAAATTCACTTATCTTACTAAAATATCTGGAGTATAACACAGAAGATTAGGGTAATGTGTATAACTAAATTTGCTCAGCATCTTAATTTTTCATTTTCCGTATGCTAACTTTTCAGGTATGCAATATTTGTGACCATAGTCACCTGTGGTTGTCATATTCCATTACTGCTTACCCATTTGTGTACTGCTTACTCATGTCCTTCTCTCAACCAATTTTAACATATTTCACTTTCATGAGAGATTTTTTGCATTCTTTTATCTTTTTCTAGGCTATTTAACTGAAGTTCTTGTTTTAAGTGAGTGATACATATATTAAGTATCTCAGTGGTAGTTTGTTCTCAGCCACTAGCTTTCAATTCATTCATATCATATGTAACATATAAGTCTGCGCTTAATTGATAGGCTTCGATCAACTGATTTTCTTATGTTATATTTTGCTGTAGAACTAAGATCTTATTTTAGGTTACAGACAATACTTATTGTAAGCAAAGATGTGTCTCAACTATTTACAAACCCAACTACTAGCCAATGGGTCAAGGGTTCTAACCCGCTCTACCTACTTCATTATCATATGTTGTCATAAATCAGGTTTCACTCAAGGTCAAGTCTGCAGATATGTACAGAGTTGTCAAGATGCATTTTCACGTTACAGCTAACGAAGTGCTATCTCTCTACAACCCCTTATTTGGTAATGCTAAAAATTTGTTAAGATTATGCTTATGTTTGAATGTGTTCTACTTACAAGGTTCTACGTTGATTTTGTCTATACACCAAACGAGTGGTAAGTTCAATGATATAATGCACCCAGTTGATAAGTATTATTAGAGCTAAAATCACTGGAGTGTGAGTTACCTCCGTGATGCCTGTCTGAAAGGCTACCTAGTTCGAAGAGATGTTATTGTGACCTGGATTTTGTCAAGCGCGACCAAAAAATAGTTTATCATTTTGACTATTTAAGTGACATAATCGTAGTTTGAGAGACTAGTACTGATACTGGGAGATGACTGAAGGTCAAATGAAAATTTGGGCCGCGGCGGGATTCGACCAGTGATCACCGGATTTCGTAGCTCCGTTGGTAGAGCACCGGGCCGGAAATTCGGGAGTCGCTGGTTTGAATCCCACTGCGGCGTAAATTTTCACTTCACCTTCAATCATTACCCAGCAGAGAAGATATTTGTTTATAAGTAGAAAACCTAATCTTGAAACCTTCAATAAACTCTGGTGCGAAAGTAATTTCTATCGTGGATATTGATATTATTCTAGAAACCATTGAACACTTGAGAGATTTGAATAGATATTTCGTCGTAACTTGGGACTCTTTAGCAGTGTGTGCCCATAACCTTGTGATGAAAATCACTTAAAAACCAACAAATCCCTACAAACCGAGAATAGAATTACTGTCCACTGCTCATTATTGACTTGCTTCGGTCAGGATTTCTCGAAGTTCTGAGAAGTGAACTTTGGGGTCGACCAAGTTGGGAGTGAGATGGTGCCCACCGATGACAGTGGAAAATGGTCACGTTGCATCATGAGTTGACAGAATTGAGAATTACCAGACCATTGGATTCCAACCCAACGGTTAGATGGTAGTGTGCTCACTGTGAAATGTGATTGTGTCAGGCTGGATACCTTGCGAGGTTTTCGGTGCTCACTGCTAAAGAATCGCAAAATTAGACGAACTAGCTGTTCAGTGCTCCCAGGTTTTCAATACTTTTCTAACTAATGTCAAATCAATAAACTTGGTAAGCCAACAATCAGGTGCACTCTGATATGCTTAAGCACTGCATCTCCAAAACTTTATTACACAAATTTTAATCTTACCATATGGAAATTAAGGTTGTAATGTGTTCATTCATATAGCTGAACACCATCAGTTATGAGTACTTAATTCTTACTGTTATTTCAAGATCTCCAGTATATCAATTAATTGTCTTTGTACAACCTAAATTGAGGATTGAAGGATCTAGGTAATATGAATGACAATTCCTGTCATGCAGATGCATTCATGCCTAAACCCTTATGTTATGTTTTATTGTATACTTTCTCCATCCCTCTTCTTTTCGTTTTCATGGCTTTCTATCACTTTTATCATACTGCTTGCATCTGTTTGCCTTTCAACTTGTTTCCTAATATTTTAGGGTGTTAAGTAAGTTGGACCAGAATGCAATAATTCCAGGTCCGATGCTGATACTAACCAACTAACTTAGGCTAAATACATATCAGTGAAACTACCGCCTGTTTTCAAGTAATGTCTGTTTCCTTAATTACACAATTCTGATAATGATTGGTGCTATATGAATTCTCATTATCGCTGACACATTTCATAACATTGTTATCATTTATATTTTAGTATGCGAAGTCCATTGGTGTTCGAGTTATGATTGATGCAGAACAGTCTTATTTTCAACCTGCTATCAGAAGACTAACTATCGAAATGATGCGTCTTTTCAATAAGGACAGGGCGGTGATATACGGTACTTATCAGTGCTATCTGAAGGTTCGTTCTCATTGCTCTTTTAGTTGCTTTGTAACTCATCTTTACTGTATGAAAATTCTGAACAAAGCAAATCATTTCCCTGTCATCGAACAACAGGTTGCCTGACTCAATCTTTTTTTAGGTTAACTGATGCTACAACAATGTTAATAACTGGAAACCTCGTAATGATCTGGTTGATTTCAAAATATCACTTATCTGTTTCATATTAGATGGTCTTGTTAGCTACTGCTTATTTCGAACTGTATTCTTCATTTACTTTTGCAACTCTATGAGATTCTCATTCATGCAATGCTTCTACTTTCACTTATACTTAAGTTCTATCTTCTGAAGTTTTATTATGTGACCTGAATAACTCGTTATTGAAACCTCTGAAGGAACCAACACCGAACCTAGTTAGATGGATTTCTTTTGATTGGTTTCAGACTTCCTTAACTAAATAATGTCTGAATTTTAGTTACACAATTTCTGTGTATTCATGGATGACCTCGTGAACCTGATTCTCTATTCGTTTGTCATTTTTTAGTATCAGCTGTAAAGTTAAGGAGTGTAGTTTCTGACTCAGCTAGAAGGCTTGATTCCAAGACAGCTGCTTACACATTTCGTTCTGCTTTTTATCTGAGCTTGATACCTAAAATCGTACTCCTTAGGTAGGTTAGTCATCATATTTCTGGAGGTGTGAGAGCGCCAGTATGGAATAAGGAACTGATTTGATGGAAGTGATTAATATCAAACAAAAATTTTTAGGATATGAAAGTAATTTTTAAGCTCCATCAAACAAAATGATTACTGAAGTAAATTCGTGAAAATATTATTAGGCTGCCTGAAATTGAAAACCATAGTTTTTCCTTGGAAAAACAACTGTATTTCATATGATGAGTATTCGGGTTATGAAGAAATTTTATTTTTTTGATCCCTTATGATCTTTCAAAATTACCTATTGAATGATAGTCTCCGTGACACATTTAATTTTGTTGATTCGACAAAGAATGCTAATTTGACAGGTAAAAGAATGATTTCATTGGATTTAGTATCTCTCTTTACAAACATCCCACTGACAGAAACCATCTGTTTCTTAAAAGGGCCTCTTCTTCGATGTACCTTCAATGTGTACTTCAGATTTAATAATGAAATCTACAGGCAGGAAAACGGTGTGGCAATGGATTCTCTACTAAGATCTTTCCTAGCTGGCTGCTTCCTGGCAAGCCTAGAAAACACTAATTTATCGTCAACAGCCAATGAACTTCAAAAGATATATTGATGATACCTTCATAGTTTGTGATGAAAAAATGAATCTTGCAAACCTACTTCATGCTTTCAACAACGGGTACCTTTCAATCGGATTCACTCTAAAATCAGAATCAAACTCAACCTTCCACTTTCTTGATGTTTAACTCCAAAGAAAAGATGATAATTCACTTCGTAGATCGATCTACAGAAAGCTTACTTGAAACGAAAAGTCTATTAACTCATTAAAGTTCGATCCCTCTATGTAGGAAGAGAAGTCTTATCTATTCACTTTCCTTAGGGATCAGGAAAATATGTGCTGAGGATACTATTGACGGCGAACTGCAAAATCTTCGACGAACTCTAGTAGAAAACAGATTCCCGATCAGATTCATAGATAAGAACATAAAGCCAAAGAACTCGACTGAACGAACACATTTGGTGCCAAAAAGATTTCTTTGTTGAATCCTGAATCCAAAAATGATATTCCTGCAGACATTCTGAAGAAACGACTGTCAAAATGCTTAAATAGGACATACTTCATCGCCGACCTTCGAATTGTTTCTTCTTGCAAGAAACCTTTTGATCAATGTGTGGAAGATAAGCTGACCGACTGTGCCACATTAATGTATGTATACCAGTTTACTTGCTCTTGTAGAGCTGAGTACACCGGCCGTACCATGCCTCTGCTTGCCAAATGTACTCGCAAACACTACATAGCCTGGCTGGCAAACACAGAACAGAAATGGATCTTCAGTTCAATAACAAAACACTTTGTAAACTTAGGCCACTTTGCTCCTTTTGAGAACCCATTCAAAATCTTCTATAGGGTTTGATGAAGTCACTCGAAGGGAGTAGGATTAAGGCATTTGGCTATAGCTGAAGCACTGGCCATTCAGAAGTTCAAATCAGTGTTATGTATCCAAAAGGTACGATCAACCTTTATCTCTGCCGTGGCCATCATAAGGCCCTTGACTGTCATAGGTTCATCCTATATTATGTAACTTCATATTTATTTTTATAATCCCTTCTTTACTTTCCCACTCTAAACCCCAATATTTATGGATTAATTTCCTTTGGTTATTCAGTATACTTCCCCCCTCCCTGACCGGAAATAATTCTGGAACTTTCTGGTCACTGTAACATATGTTCACGAATATACAGCTTAGTAAATGACTTCGGAGAGCAAAATTATACGCTCATTAGTTTAGTTGAGCACATTTAAAATCTCTGTGTCCAGCTAAACTTTGAATGAATATTCAGCATATAATTATGCAGCTATTGTAATCAGTATCTTCTCTTCAATATAAAAGTTCAAAACCGTTTCTGTTTTCGTCTTACTTTTACCCTAACTAGCTGTTCGGTAAGATTGAGTATTGGTATGACAATTAAACTTCAGTTCTTCTTAGGCAACTGCTGGAGCATAAAAGCTATTATAGGAAGCAGAAAGACAATTTTACACTAATTTTTAAGAAATCATTGGCTGTCTTATGATTTTCGCCCCAACCCTTGATGACATTTATTCAAATTATTTTAAGTTTTGTAATTTTTTGTTCTTCAAGCTTTGAGGTTTGTTCCTGGATGTTTCATTGTCAAACTAGGTGACTTCAGCATTTACTGTACCAACAAGTGAATCATTTTGAAATTACATGAATGTTTATGAAGAATATTTACTGATCTTTAGAATTATTAGCCTGTGGTAGGGGCGACTTTCTCTTTTACTATCAGAAGTTGACCTCTGTAGCTGGTTTCATGTGGCCTATGCTGTTGGCCGAATTTTTGATTCACTTTTGAGGTTTATGGGGATTTATTTGTTGATTTCAGGTCGGTATTCATCATCAAGTGACAGCATTTAGGAAAACATCGGAAACATGGGAGCACTTGATGGCTGTTTCGTCTTAGTATGGGACTGTTCAGCAGTGCGCACCCGTAGTGCCGCCAGATATCCAATACAGGAGCTTCAGGTTCCGCGGTCAGCACGTTACCATTGAGCCACTGGGTCGGAATCCAATGGTCCACATTTCCTACTTCTGTCAGTCCACAACATAGTGCTACCGCCACCCAATGTCGTCCTTGAGTATTTGTTCTCACGGCCACCGAACCTGAAGGTCGCGGGGTCGTGGGTGTGCACTGCCGAGAAGTCCCATACTAGGACGAATCGCTGTCCAGTACTCCCAGGTTTCCATTGTTCCTTCAACTGATGTCAGTTTACGATGAATACCAACTTAAAATATCTCTAAATCCCCACAAATCCTTAAGTTCAACAGTATAATTTACTTGATAGCATTTCGAACATAAATTATTGCTCGTAATCAAAGCAATGACTCAGCTCTTAATATTAAATTTCCATAGTCCTGTATTTGTTTTCAGTGGTAGTAAAAACTTTTCTCATCTCCGATATCAATGTTGTATCATTCCGAGTATATATATTCGATGAACAAAGATTGGGTAATCAATCTCTTCCTCTCCAACTATGTCTGACTTGTGCAAAGTTGCTTTATTCCACCCTATTGTATGTTTGTGTTTCGGTGTTTGCATTGTAAAAACTGAGTTTTCTATATTATTGATCTAATTGTAGTCTATCACTCTGCACTTGGATAAACTCGTTTGCTTCGACAGTCTGACTGACCCTCATCGGCTAGTTTGACCTGTGTGCTTGACCTCACAATCAGTGCATAGGATTTAATAGGTCAAATCTTTTCATTTAATTGAGCTATTAAGATCCTTAGACCGATAAGTGGGTTGGTGGTTTGAATGCCACAATTATAATCTTGGTGAGAATTCTACGTAAAATTTATGATGTTCATTCCTTATGTGGCAACATAATAAAGACCTTGAACTGCTTTCTGCTTGTGTCATCGTTATTATATTCATACTGTTATGCTTTCATTGCTCATGTATTCTTCAGAATTTCTCGATAAACTCTAGCGATAATTTAATAGTTCCCATTGTAACATCAAGAACAAGATATTCAGCGAAGAGATTCTTCTCAACGAATTTATTTTCAAGCTGTACAATCGTATATATGATATTTGGAAAATTATATCCCATGGGGAAAACTAAACACTATATTGATGATGATGACAATAACAAAGGCATTTGTGATTATAATAACAATTGAAGTATGAATGAAAACAAAGTGGATTATGCAACATATGGAATAGTTCTTAGAACGTGTATAACTCAAAAGGGGTGAAAAAATTGATAAAAGTGGTATTAAATTTTGAGGGGTTGTGGAGATATTATTATATGATATTATATGATATGATAGGATTAGACAAGTCGGTCAAGATGAAATCAATCTTTTCTAAAAAGATTAAGACAGTTAAGTGAAGTAACACCGGAAACTGTTCAAAGTGAAGGCAATCATAATAACAATAATAGTGATAAAGGAATGACACATAGATTAAATTAACAAAGGGAGGGGGAGAAGCCAAAAGGGTGGGGAAATGTTATGGTCATGATAAAAACAGTGACTGTACATACTTTTGTACACACAGATCAGGCTTAAGGTCATGAATAACTAAGGCTTCCGCTGTTTTAAGGAGTTGAAAAAGAATAAAACGTGGGAGGTTCGGGCAAATTCGATAAACAATTTTAAAGTCATTATCTGAGTTTGTGGAATGATAGAAATCAACCAGCTATTCTAGAATGGAACTTCTAACCGATTTTCTTTCACCTTTATACAACCAAACTAGGTCATGCTCTTGTATACGTGTAAAAAACATTCCCTGGTTACCTCCGATGTGCCTTGCTCCATAAGAGCATGTGAACTTGTAAATGCACATAGAGGCGGCTAAGCGAAGAAGCTTGCCTTTGACACAAATGGAGAATAGGTTATGGCTGGTAAAAGTCATTTGAAGTCTTGCTGCGAAGAAAGTCCTATTGATTGATCTGCTTAGACGATTGTTTAGTACATCTGGTGCTAGGTCACCTTTAAATTCTAGGCTCATGAACAATCTTTTCTTTTCGACCGAGTGAATGTTCGGTTTAGTATTTCTTTCTAGCTTATTTTTATCGATAAAACAGCTAGGATAACCGTTTTCGACAAGTGTGCTTTTTAAAACGACATAGCTCTGCATCAATACAATCGTCACTACAAATATTTCTTATTCGATAGCAGAGAGAGTGAATAAGATTTATTTTTCTGTTGATAGGCTGAGAGAGAGCAATTTCTGATTAGTAATATTCCATTTATTTGTTTCATCTGCATGGATTCCATAGTGAATTTAAAACTATGACTATATCCACCCCAACTGATAGTGGTTGTGGTGACCTGAAGTCTAGGTTACCCAGTGGAATGTGTTGGTTCTCCGTAGACGGTAGTATCTAAACTACCATCTGTTCTTCATTTTACTTCAGAATCTAACCTAGTTAATTCTCTTTGCTCATTTTTCAAGTGGATTGCAGCTACTACTGAGTTTACATATGTGAATAAACTGTTGATAAATTTAGATTTCAACACACTAAATGTGCCATCTACATATTGCCAATACATTTTAGGTGTACAACTAAACATCCATAAAGACTGGGGATGGTGCCGGGCTTCTTCTGAATGGGTGATGTTGTTCTGTCCCAATAAATGTCTAGCTCGTTTTTTGTTGAAAGGTGGATTGGTATTTTCATCATCAAACAGTGCCTGCAATGGTCTTGTTGCTGTAGTTTTTCTGCATTCACTTAAACTCAGATACGTGCAGGTGTGAACTAGTACGTAGTAACTGTCCAAACACGTACTTCTGAAAGAGTGGAAATCTTCCATCAACCTTTCAACAGCAGGTGATATCAGTATGGCTTTTTTGTCCACCTCTGAGCTAAGGTCGGTGCACGCCACGTCAGTGTTTGTCTTTGGGTTTGACAGTGGTCAGAAATAGGTGGTTGCCTGATTACATATTTAATAGTTGACTACCATTGTCTGTTTATTCGACTGGGATTCTGAAAGTATCACCTAAGTGTCTTTGTTTCTCTATATTGAAATTTCACTCTATGACAACCGTATCTGAACATCTAACTTTCAGCAGGAGGTTGAATAGTTTTCGGTAGAATTCATCTCCCAGTTTACTTCAGCTGCATTTATTGGATGCTTAAGTAGAGATTATAAAGAGAAGATGGCGAGTTTCACCATCATTTTTAGTCTCCTTTTTCACGTTGTATGCCATGTATACTGATAATGAGGATTTACTAGGCATCCAATCAATGGGTTACTAACAATGAATTATAATTATGTTTTAAGTATTTAGACTTTGTATTTTTCTACTTTTATAGGAGGCACTTGAGTCTCTTCGTCAAGATTTACACCATGCTGCCACAGAAGACTTCTACTTTGGTGCTAAGCTCGTTCGAGGTGCTTACATGGACCAGGTAGGTCAAGTTTTACCAAGTGTTTAGTTCAATATCTTTCTACATTCCAATACTCTTGTGTATATTCTGTTTACTCTTTTTTGTTGTTGATGACATTCATCTTTAATCAGTATATAGGTGGAAATTAACACGAATATCGGTAAATTCTTTAATTCTATTAGCTAAATGCCCACTGTGTGTTGACAATTTAAATTTACTCTCATATGAAGCATAATCTTGCTGGATAAGGCAGACTTTTTCTTGCAAAATACTGACTATCAGAATAACAATATCAAGCAATTTCCTACTCATCTCTCTTATTCTCAAAGAAAGAAGAAGATAAACATTGAAATGATGAATTTGCTAACCAGAAAAAATACTCAAAATAGATGTTCAGTTCGTGCATATAGGTGTATGTTGATGATAACTTTAGGAAAGGTTTTAGTAAATGACACGTTGAGGCATGTTTAGATCAGTAGCGAGACGTTAACGTTAAGAAAAGTATGAAAGAGCAATGTAAACTGTAGGGAACTTCTTTCTGGAAAAACGGAAGTTTCAAGTACTAGTGTAGCTGAAAAAAACTAAGAAAAAATGTTTAAACTCATTATGAGTAAATATCCATAAGGACAAAAATTCTTTTCAAAATTTCAATCACCAACAAGGCACTGGAAATATATTTTCAGAAAACCTTGCTTTTCCTACTCATTGATTTGAAGTGTTAAAAAACTACGTAAATTCTGAGTCAATCCGTGTTAGATTCCCAGAGGCAATCAGCATTCAGCCCCGCACTTGGTTTTCATGCTTTGTCACTTGTCAGCAAGGCGTATCTACAATCTCTACGGAACTGATGTCTCACCTGAGTGATAATACCCCTATCACCTGACCACCAAGCCATTGAGCCTTTTATTGACCTCCTGAATTAGATCCACTGATTAACCGCTTGATGGTTACCAATTCATGATGCATAGTCTTAATTGCTGACCGAATTCTTCGGATCATTTTGAAACGTCGTCACCAGGCTAAGAGGCTAAATATTCAACTTCATCTGACGGTCATGGATGAAAAGGATCATTTACGTATTATGATAGGTGCATATATATATATATATATATATATATATATATATATATATATATATATACCCTATGTAAAGAAATGAGCGTTACTGTTTTCGTATCCTTTTCTGCTTAAATAACACTTAACTCAGGTAAAATTCTCAGGATAACAGAAAGGTAATCCAATTCAAATTTTATTACTACTACAAAAAACTGATCGAATAATTGTCAGATTAATTTAAATAAGCTTAGTTACCACTTTTGTGAATGTCATAGTAAGTGCTACCCATATGTATTTTTAGTCTACTGTTGTTAACTGCTCTAATGGGTACTAAAAATACATTGATTCCCTTGTTACTTTGCCTTGATCTAAATTTAGAATGATTTGGTTACAGAACCAGTTGACTTATTCCACGATAATGTCACGTGAACCACAACTTCATAGTTGAACGCGGAGATGATCATATCGGTTTATTAGTTTCTTCAGGATCAAAATTTGACCTGATAGGGTATGGATCTTGGTGACGCAATGGAAACTAGGACACACGTTTCGTGACCTGATAGAGTTGAACAAGTTAAGCACTGGGTAATTGAATTATGTATGAAATATATTTGTAAAATCCCATTGAGGTAGAAAAACACATTTCTGACGCTTCGTTTCTTCAGAGATACGTTGTTGTTGTCATCTGACTACCGAACTAGGTATGCTGTAGATCTTTACCAGTTCATGTAAAATACCGAGCTATAGCCTACCTCAACGTACAATGCTAACGGGAGTTGTATTAGGTTGGAAGACGGTTCAGGGTGACCAGACCAAGATGTGACACCAGTCCACGAATTCTCTCACTGTTAATCTGAGCCACGTAGGGAGGTGCAGACTACCCGGCTGGGTTCCATGAGATGATAGGAAAACAGTGGCTGAGGACTGTTATCGGGGGCGGATGAAAATCTATCACAATGGCGCAAGTGCACTCATCTAATCGTTGAATGTTTTGACTAACCTTAATTCTTAAGTCCCCTCTCCTTCTATACACCTGTTTTTACTTCGATATTAGTCTTTTTCTATCCAGTTGTTCTTTGTCTACTACTGTGAAGTGTAGCAAGTTGTCTGTCTGCCTGACGTACAATACAGTCGGAAGATTGTTTAATAAGAATAATTAGCCTTTAAACTAGGTCACTACGAAGCTGTTATAATGTACGAGTCGTTTATTGTATTAATACTGGGTGAGGATTGAAGTTGAAATGAAAATTAAGACTGTAGCCGGATTCGAACCAGTGACCACCGGGTTTACGGTTTGATTCTGTACCAAATGAGCACGACGTCTTATTATATTGTTAATCAACTCATTACCACAGATGCAACCTAAAGTTGGTTTATTATTCACATGTAAACAGTTAAAATATAACTTTTTCATTTTCGATATACAATGATAAAAGTTTCTAGTTTATATTTCAGCCATAGTATATTTCACTACCTAATACTTCTTCTAATGATAGCTAGAGAATAAACTTAAATATCCTGGTTTCTTGATTTAGGAGCGTGCACGTGCTAAAGAATTGGGATATGAAGATCCAGTTTGTGCAAATTTCGATGCCACAACAGCAATGTATCAGGCTTGTTTAGAAGAAGCATTCAGTGCTATGAAGAAACGTAAATTCGGTCAAGTTAACATTATGGTAGCTAGTCACAATGAAGATACCGTTAGATATGCTATTAAAAAGTAACTTTTCTGTTGTTTCGCTTCGCCTAATGATAATATAAATGCCAGAAGTAACTTTTCAGCTTTATATTTTGCAGTTCACTAAGATGTACTAAAGAAAACGAACGAAATCAGATGCCTTTTTAAAGATGAACAGGGAGTAGGTGATATTCTAAATTATACTGACAAACCAGTACCTTCATATCACCTATGATTTTCATTATTCCTCATTCTTTTCCTATCTTTTGTATATTCACGTTTAATGTTATCATTTTAGTTGCTTTATTAGATTTGTCGCACGGTCGAACAGTATTATATTAGTGATGAATAGCGGCTAGCAGCGAAATTTAGGACTCGGATTTCTTCCAATTTGGGACTCGTCAGCTGAGTGTACCTGCCTCCCGGTGGATGATGTTGTCCCCACTAAGACTCGAACTGGAGGCCGATCGCTTCAAACGCCAGAGCTTTATCCACTAGACCACCGAGTTACAGTAATGTTTACTGGATCAGCTTTTGGACATAAATCATTGTTCATAGTCATATCAAGAAAACTACATAACTTCGAGATATCCATTATATAGTCCTAATTTCCTCACCTCTTTTGTGATATAGGAAGTAAGATTTTTTCCTATATCCGCAACAGGCGCTGAGTTATTCCTGGTGCATGTATTAGGTGTTGATTCGATAAACAAAGAATTACTTACCACTTTTTCCCTTCATCCTGCTATATTAGTTCTAAGGATTCTCATCCTACCCCATCCTATTATATGATTGTGTGTAATCGCATACATAGGTGTGGCCAAGCTCTTTTCTAAATTCCTTATCTTATTAGCACTTACCAATTTTGACCTAGTTAAGATTTTGGGCTCGATAGCCTAACTGCCTTGATGTATGGAAAATCTTACCGCCTATATCACAGAGGAGACGAGGAAATTAGGACAATATAAAGGATGTCTCAATGTTGTGTAGTTGTCTCGACGTGTCTATGGCCAATAAATCATACTTGAAACGTACTCCAGTACACACTACTATTCCACTGTGTGATAAATCTAATAACTCAACCAAAGTGGACATCAGTTCCGTCGAGGTTGCAGATACGCCTTGCTGGCGAGTGCCAAAAAGCACGAAACCTAGGTCCAGGGCATCCTGCCGATTGCCTCCAACCAACTAACATTATTTTATTTCCATTTGGTTTCCTCTTGTTTCCTGTTGTGAAGTATAAAAAGGTGAATTGATGCACATTTACTGAGTGTCCAACTTTGATCTGTCTGACATGATACAGACCCAACTTTTAGGTTACTTAATTCAATCACTGAGTCACTTATTTTTAAAAATTGCTCAAAGTTGGACACTCAGTAAATGTGCATCAATTCACCTTTTTATACTTCACAACAGGAAACAAGAGGAAACCAAATGGAAATAAAATAATGTTAGTTGGTTGGAGGCAATCGGCAGGATGCCCTGGACCTAGGTTTCGTGCTTTTTGGCACTCGCCAGCAAGGCGTATCTGCAACCTCGACGGAACTGATGTCCACTTTGGTTGAGTTATTAGATTTATCACACAGTGGAATAGTAGTGTGTACTGGAGTACGTTTCAAGTATGATTTATTGGCCATAGACACGTCGAGACAACTACACAACATTGAGACATCCTTTATATTGTCCTAATTTCCTCGTCTCCTCTGTGATATAGGCGGTAAGATTTTCCATACATCAAGGCAGTTAGGCTATCGAGCCCAAAATCTTAACTAGGTCAAAATTGGTAAGTGCTAATAAGATAAGGAATTTAGAAAAGAGCTTGGCCACACCTATGTATGCGATTACACACAATCATATAATAGGATGGGGTAGGATGAGAATCCTTAGAACTAATATAGTAGGGTGAAGGGAAAGAGTGGTGGAGTATTTCCCTAATTGGCTAGTAAACAATTACATTCAAATAATTTAGATGTAGTATTCATCATGAACTGACATCAGTTAGGGGACCATTGAAAATCTGGGAGCACTGGACAGCTGTTTCGTCCCAGTATTGGACTGCTCAGCAGTACGCGCCCATGACCCCGCTAGGAATCGAACTCAGGACGTTTGAGTTTCACAGCTAACGCGTTTCCCAACTGATATCAGTCCATGATGAATACTGCCTCTAATCTAAAAATTCCCATTCATCTCAAAAGTACAAGAGGTGCACAAATGTCATCTTCAGTGTAAGGGAAAAACTTGGGCACTGTGGGAGAGTATAACTCCGTATTAGATTGTTTATTTGATATAGCACATTAACACAATATAATTTACTGGATGATGTTTCGATCACAATTTATTGCTCATATTCATGTTAAAGTCATCCTCTGTAGGTAAACACATTATAGAAACCGGTCATAGGATTGACCCCAAAACATCCTTTGGATAGCAGTCCGTATACTTAGGTTCATTGAAGCCTTATCTACAGGAAAGTTCAACCCTTCCCCCTCCCTTTGTGTATTCAAAAACAATTTGTCCTTATCCTAAACTTTTCTTCGTAGTCTTTGTTTCATTTTATTGCCAAAGGAGGTGTGAAAACATATTATTCCTCCTTATTGTCCTTATATTTTCCGAATCTTGTATTATCCTAATTTATTTACCTTACCCCACTCTATTTTCATCCTTCATATAAAAATGGCATGACAAGCAAGCACGGCAAAAGTGTTCCAAATTCCAAGGCTTACTTAAAACTGCAACACTCAAAATATAAGAATTTGAAATTATCAAGATTAACCGTGAACAAATAAGAAAACTAAAATGATAATGTTTATATAGGTATCACACACTTCATCACTGAATTTCATTTCGTGAAGCTTGCCTCTTGTAGACCTCAGCTACATACTTAGATAATTTTACAGTCCCATCTCAAGAAAAACAGATTTCCTAACCTGTCTTGGGTCAAAAATCATGAGACGTACTTAAGCTTTGGTATACTATCCAAAGTACTGTAACATACGTCCATTTAATCCTAACTGCTGTGTACGATTCAAAATGATTGCCCCATCTAACTGACTTAAGATCGAGTTCTTTATTTTTGTTATATGTATGAGTTATGATTTCTTCATTTCATTTGACTCTATAAATGACACTAAAGAAGGACTCTGATCGAGTTATGTGTCCAGAATTGGCTAAATGTTCAAGAATTGAACTGTGAATTGATTTACAAACATATTTACTTTGGGCCATCTCAATATATGTCTACATATTAACTTACTCCTGTGGAGCTAGTTATATGGGCCGCACAAAGCATGCACTTTTCAAACGTATCTCCGAACGCTATCCTGTGTAGCTGTCGAAGAGAGAAGGCTAACATTTCTCCATTGTTGACACGAAAAAGTATTATGATTTCTTTTTCTATCTATCGTGTTATATTTGCTAATTTTGATGATTTATTACCATTTTACTGTACTTTTATGTTTATCTATCCGTCTCTTACTCTCTATGAAAATGTGAATGCATCAATGGATTATAATCTGTTTTTTTCTATAGGATGCACGAATACAAAATAGCACCTGAGGATGGGCTTATCTGTTTCGGTCAATTACTTGGAATGTGTGATCAGATTAGTTTTACACTAAGTAAGTTTATAGTTTACTATAGTTACTATCGTTTATATATATATATATATATATATATATATATTCATTTACTTTAAGGTAGAATGGTGTTATTCAAGCTTTGTTTTTAAAAAAATTTTTATTGCTCGGTTTTAATCATATACTTATACAAAGAAAGTGGGTATGGAATGGAGGAGAATATTTGTAGCTCAGGTGGATGGTCTTGGCTGTGTTGTGTTCTCTGAGCTGGGTTGTTTAGTCGTGGGGCTTTCATTGTCTTTCTAGACGACATCATCAGCACTAACTTCAGTATGAAGTGAGCTGTCAATATCATCGTGGGTGATTTAGTAGCTTGTTCTGACCAAGTGGTTTGTGATTGGTTGTTTCCTTTGATTGCTGTCATTGACGGTACAGATTTTCTTGTTGGCTGTCCCTATGTTTGATCTCTGATCTTTCTGTTGTTCGTCATTTTTCGTATTGGTTGATAGATTGGGTATGTGTCTATACATCTGTTGATTGCTGACTGACCTAAATACCAAGTTTTTAGGAATTCTCTGATATTCTTTGTGTTTCCTCTCAATGTCCAAAATTTCTACATTGTCGAAATTGAATGCATGTCCATAATTATCCACGTGCATTGAAATGAGTGATGAAATGTCGTGGCGTTCAATAGCCAATTGGTGCTCATGTAGATGAAGGCGAAGAGGGCAACCACTTTGTTCAATGCTGTGTTGACTACAGTTATTGCAGTTGATTTTGAAGATGATATTCAGTTTGTCTTCTTTGGTTGTTGCATCCTTTGGTCTGCATAATAGTGTTTGTAGGGAATTTGTTGATTTATGAATGGCCACACCAATTCCAAGTGGTCTCAGTAATCTTGTCGTGATTTCTGATATATTCGTTATGTATGTTAGGATGATGCGTTTGTTGATTTCTGTCTGTGTTGTGCAGGATAGGCATCTTCTGATAAAGTTTCGTGAGTAGCCGTTCTTCTTAAGGACGGATATCAAGTAATTTTCTTCATTTCTTCGTAAAGTTGTTGTACTGTAGTGTGTTGTCGCTCTTGTTGTCGTGTAGGAAGACGATAAAAGATCCAGAATTAAACAACTCAGCTCAGAGAACACGATGCAACCAAAGTGAGTATAGATTTGAACATCTGTCTTCGTGAGATTTTTCTATAGCTTTTAGACAGTTTCGGGAATTCTCACAACTTGCACCAACTATTCATCACCATCGAAGTTTCAGGCCTGACTCCTACAAACAAACATGATTTAAGTTCTCTCGGGAATTCTAGATTCTTCGATTATTCCTTATATTGATCTTGAATGGGAGGATCATCTTGATGCTGATGATAACTCACAAACTAATCGCAAATAATTTAATAAAAGCTATATAATTAGATAATTAAGTCATTAATAGCTATTTACTAGTGTTTTATCACTTGTATGTCTGAAGTTTTTCCAAGTACGTTTCAAATTTTCTTGACAACAGCAGACGGTATACCTTTAGATTACGCAAATATGTTGTTAGACCTGCTAATTATTATTTTATATCAATCTTCTTTTGTAATAAATTTTCATCATTTACTAAACTTCCGGTTGTACGTATCATTTCGAGCGACAGAAAAAGTTGTTTCAACCAATGATGCTAAATTTAGCAATTCGACAAGAAGAAAGTTGTAAATAGTGAAGAGTATCAATACGAGGTACAATAAACCCTAAAATGGGGGTGTGAATGTACTTAGTGCGAAGCAAAATATCAACAGACCTCATCTACATACATATTTCAATCTGTGAAGAACCCATCCTATCCTAATTTTTTGCCAACATTTTAAATCAACTATATTTTATAGTTATCATCATAACTATAATCAGATTTCACTAATGATGCATCGACTCCAAGTAAAAAAAGAATATGGAGAACAACTTTTAGATAAGTGCTGTTTGGAAACAACTAATAACTTTGTAAGTAGTATTCATCATGGACTGACATCAGTTGGGAAACCACTGAGGATCTGGGAGCACTGGACAGCTGTTTCGTCCTAGTATGGGACTCCTTGGCAGTACGCACTCACGATTCGGCCAGGGATCGAACTCAGGACGTTCGGGTTTCACGGCGAACGCGTTAACCATTTAGCCACTGGGTCGGTTTCCAGATTTTCATTGGTTCCCCAACTGATATCAGTCCATGATGAATATTACTTCTAAATTAAAAATCCCCCCTCATCTCAATAATAACTTTGTCTTAAAATTGGAGAGAACTCTTTGACCCTATGAAGAAAAAAATGTGGAGATGAAGTTATCAAAAAGTTAACTAATCATTTCAGCGAAGAGTCTCTTTTCGGGGATTTTATCTTCAACGCTGTACAATTGCTAATTTATACATTTTTCTAGTATAAAAATTTGATAGTTTGGACAAGAAGTTTCGTAGCATGGTGACATAATTAGAAAGTGAACTATGATCAGACAAAGCATAGCAACAAGAATGAGTAGCAAATTACCTAAAAAGTAAATAGTGTCAAAACAAGTCAAAAAACTAAAACCACGAAAGGGGAAGGGGTTGAATAATCTCCTTCTGCCTACACAGTTCAGGTTTCTCTATATGGATGACAAGAGCTTTGGCGATGCAGAGAATACCGAGACATACAGCCTTTGAAAAGTTACTTTGTCAATGACTTTAAACGAGGAGGTTCTCCAGATAGGGTGATTCGAGTTCATAATGTGTTCAATTATAGCACTCCTTATCGCTCCATTGTTACCTCTTTATAACCGTGTGGGATAGTGTTCTTGAGCCCTTTTGGATAACAATCGCATCGAACAACCTATATACCTGACTCCACAAGAGCAGGTGAATTGAGATATGCACATAGAAGTGGTTAGATGAGAAACTTTCTCGTTTGAGTTGTTAGAAATCGTTTGGCGATAAGAGAATACTAGCTTAGTGTTGATACAAAGAATGTTTTCCTTAGAGCGTTCAATATCCTTTTTTTTAGAATGTCGAGGGCAGAATCACCTTTGAAGTTGAGATTCATATACAGTGGCTTTTTTGGTACGGTGGTAAGGTTCTCTTTGCGTGATTTAGGCTTGATGTTTTCGTCTGTGAACGGTGGTGGGGATCCCTTTTCAACCAGGATGCTCTTTAGAATAGAAATTCCCTCTTTTAACACATCGGGACTACAGATTTGTCTAATGTAAGTGACAACAGATATGATCAGGTTTTGCATACAACTCATAGGGATCCAGCTATTAAAGTTCGTCAGTTGACCATTCTATATTGGGTTTCTATTAGTTGATTTACTTAACGTTCCACCAGCTGTTCTTGTCAGCTTTACATCAAGAAAGTGAATTTTCGATATAGGATAGTTTACAGAAAGATCGCTTAGAGTTACTGTATATATGGGTACTTCAGATGATCAGGATCCATAGTTATACTTATTGGCAGAATACCCAAAATCCATACGGTTGACATTTCATTTCATCCATCTTTGATCACTTTTAACATAGGTTTAAAGCGTTTAATGAAACATTTATAGTTCATAAGCAGGCGGATATCAAATCCATATCTTTGTGCCATTTAGTTTCATTAATCCTATTTAACAGTCATTGATACCTGACAAACATGTATTATCAGTACACGAACTTCACACGTCTCTGTTTTAATAGTATTAAAAGCGTTGTTACACAAAAGCGAATGATTATTTTGTTCAAAAATACATGCAGCATCTCAGTACTCATTGAGGCTTATGAAATAAGTATTAAACAGTGTTCTTTGATCATTCTATATAACTGTTAGAAAACCTTGTTTAAAAATGTCAGCTGTGTTGTCAAAACTCCAATTAAGGTGTTCACCTCGGTGACTAGTAGAATCCAGGACACGTTTCATCTCGACTAGGACTGATCAGCTGGATGTACTTTCATCTCATCGAATGATGTTATTTCCGCTGGGATTCGAACCCAGTGCCCTTTACTTCAAATGAAAAATCAAACAATAGCTAATACTCACTCCACAAGAGGTGACTATCGTTCCCCAGTGGCCTAGTAGATACTGCGTTTGAAGCCTTCGGTACTGGGTCTGAATGTCGTTGGGAACATCACTTACTAAGGTACAGGTACATGAACTGATGAGTTTCAAATAGAATGAAATATGCGTCATAGATTTCACTGCGAGTCACCAAGATGAAAACAACACTATAAATATCCAGCAGTATCGAGACATTCGCGTATTACCCCATCTGTCAACACAGGTCGGGCTATTCGACCCTGTATAGCAACGGGAAATTGCAAGTGTCAAATAACTCCAAGTAAAACAATAACTTCTGTGATGAACGTTAAGAGATTCAGTTGCAGATTGATTGTTTTTCTCCAAAGACCAGCCCAAGAGCCTGAAACCATGATATCAACTATTAAGTAATTAATATGTTTTACTAACCAGTCGAAAACCACCTAGTTTAGGAGAGTTTCATCCCTATATATGAGAACGACAAAGAGTCTGACGTGTAGACCTATCAACCACTAATTCATCTTTCAAGTTTCTTAAGTGTATTTTCATAGTCTGCAGTTTAGTTTCTGAAAATATCCGGTCGTATGTATAGATTATTAGTTTAGGGGGTTCGCGATTAATGTAGTATTACTCATAGAATATTAGGTTATTAAATACACCGATGACAAGACGGTTGTAAAAACTGTATAAACTGCAGCATGCTAAGACGTATACAGATTTTAAGTTATCCTACTTTATATCACTTATGTTCAGTAAAATCTTTAAGTAATCCAGTCACCAAAAGGACTTGTAAGGAAGAATTTCTAAATAAGGAAATCAAACACAAACTCCATTATCGAATAACTGTCCCCTGGAATTTATTCACAAATTCATAAGAATTTTACACAATAAGCGAAACAGTAATATGAGGAAGGACTTCGGTGTGAATTTAAAGGCGATCCAGGAAGTAACACTAGATACTAGTAAGGCTGTGATTAAAGTAGCTGCCAAGAGTAATCCTCTTTCTCGATAGCGACTATTTCGGCCTAATAATTCTATCTGCCTAGTCAGATGACATTTCAATCTCCAGACAACGTGCTATGATTCATCAAAAAATAATCTATTGCCGTATGATGTACCAAATAATAAAATTATTCTTTTTCCTTACAGCGCTTAATATCTTTTCTTACACTATATGCCTGAATGGAAAAGAATTATTCCTTCTCTTTAAGCATGATTGTAACAATGGATAGAGCTAGTTGAATGACACTATTAGGTTACTACATTTTCAGAAATACGTTACCCTGTTCAAACCTGGATGTCAATCAGTTTATCAGAAAAGCAATAATACCCTTGTTGTAACCAAGCCAGAAGGGATAGATTTGCAGGGCAGAATTATGTCATTTTATTCAGCTGATCTTCATCAGCCGCATGAGGTCCGAACTAAAAATACTTATTATAGGAAGGTTACTGACATAATCCCATGATTTAATTATAAAATATTGAATGCTAGCTCATAAGGTACTGTAAAATTTTGGAATCCAAAGTTTTGAGATAGCGGAAGTCATAGACTACATGTCGAAATGGCTGAACAACAGTAAGCTAGGAAAAAGAAGTTTCAGGAATTGTACAGTTGCTTATGAAAGCGAAGAAGAAAAGCAGAAACCAATCCTAGCCAGCGGATTACGCAACACAAAATGAAATGATATTCATGAGATTGAGATCAACTGAATGAACTGTAATCAACAGCCAAGCAAAATGTAGAATTATGTAGTTGGAGTGAAGTAAGATGAAGTCATAGTTAGAAAAATGGCTCTTCTCAGAGATTTACTTCACAATGTTGTACAATAGGAAATATATACGATTTTTGCATAAAGATTACTAGAATCAGATAAAGCGTTGCTTAACATGACAAAAGATCAAATGTGGTCAAAAATAGCCTAGGAATAGAAACTATGTAAGAAGTGGATAGGTTATAAAAAGAGAGTGATTTCAAAGCAAGTTAACAAATAAAACAATTAACCGACTTCAAGTTAAGACTATGAAAGAAGAAGCGGCTGAACAAGATTTATTTTTATGCATAAGACAGGATTTTCTCAGTGGATAGCTAGAGTTTCAGTGATGCAAACAAAACAAAAACGTAAAGCCTTTAGAAGATTTCTTAGAAAGTGGAGTCCTTTGAAATAGAGTGAGTTCAATAACAGCGCTTTGAATAGACCCATTATAATCTCTTTACAATAGCTGAGGATAGTGTTTTAAAACTCCGTTGAACAACAGTTCTGTCGAATGAGATATATCTTGCTCCATAGTACCACGTGAACCAATGTATGTAAACATCGGTCAGATGAGTTACCTTCAAATTGTTAGGAATAGTGAGTGGCAATGAATAATAATCTCACTCGTGATGGAAACAATGTCCAGAGAAGTGCGACTGTTACCCCCTTTTCTTGGAGTGTCATCTAGTGGACCATGTTTTAGGCACAAAGGTAAATATCTTTTAAGGTTTGGAGGCTATTTTGTTGTCGATAAGACCTGGTGGTTACTCATTTGCAATCAACTGTTTTTTTCAGAAGAGAAGTCTTCGTTTTTAAGAAATCTGAGCTGCACACTCTTGGGTTTCGCTTGCGGCTTATGGACACCCAGCTATGAAAGCTTGTTAACTATCCATTCTATACAGGGTTCCTGTAGACCCATCTTCTCAACTTCTCATCAATTTTTCTTGCCAATCGTATGTCCAGAAAGACATTTTCCCATTTATTTATCAACTGTACAGTATGTTGGATTGTGTAGTGGCAACTACTGAACACCTTTAGAACATGATTCAAATCATATTGACATAGATAGTAAAAATATCATCTTCATACCTTTTGTATATATGTAGATAGTTGATTATCGACTTCAGACAGTCGTTTTGTAGACTGGGGTGAAGGCACCCGTGTGGTTGCGCCGCAGAATGAGACTGTATACCGTCTTGGTTTTAAAAAGCCTAGATGTGTATTCTGTTCTCTCCTGAAAACCAGTGTATAAATATTTGTTCAGATGACGGATATGTATCACTCAGTGACAATAAAACAGTCTACAAGTATTGGGCCTAAGACAGACTCCATGGCGATTCCATCTTTTTTGTCAACATATCAAACTAGTGAACACTAAGCGTGTATATCAGGAATAATTCTGTCAAAGGGCAGTTCAGTATTTGAATATTAAGGGTGTTAACTTCAGTGTACTTGTATATGAAACAAGGGGTTTCCATAAGAGTAACACTGTTGAAAAGTGATTCGACGTTTCCTAGATACACTGATAGTCAACACTGAAAACTAAAGACCAGACAGCCACATTAGCCAATCAATGGTGACTGATTCGTCTACTTAACCCAATACTACAACGAGTCAGTCGTGTCCTAAATAGCTTAACAGTAAAGTCTTTGGTTGCATCACTGAGTTACTCACTGAAAGAGCACCAGTTTCCTCATGATCTCAGAGACGCCTTGCCAAGGACTACCAATAATCACGAAACCTAGGTTTAAGGTTTTCTGGTAGTTGACTCTCAAAATCTAACGCACTAAAAATGCTTACCGAAAACTATATATACTTGGGACTATGCAGCTTTGTGAATGAAATCAAAAATAGTCTCATCTTTGATCTACTTGTTCTTCCTCTTTCACATTTCGATGGATATTTCCTGTACTTAGAAAATTATAGTCGATTCGCAGGTGACAGATAAATCGCATACTCTTTCTGTATAAATACATCCGGTTGAATTCATTGTGTAGTAATCGTTTCAAAGAAGTGTAGTAGTCTAAGCATTTTCTACACGTTTCAAATTTTAAAATCACTTAAAGATTCAATTTGATATCCCATACCTCCAAAATATCTGCTGATTTCAGTAGTTAGACACTCATTTCGAAAATAACTCAGAAAACCTTATGAAAACTCCACTCTTAGCCCTTCCGGTGTAGTTTCTATCGCAAGAGCAAGCATGTGACATAAATAGAATATTTTATTTGGACTGATATAAGTTTGACCGGAGGAAAACTTTTCAATGCTGTTGTCATCAAGATATCTATTCTCTCTCGGATATTTGATTTCCTTTGAAGCGCACAGTTAATGATAACCTTTTCTTTAACATTAAGAGCATTTATCGTCTTCAATCTCAATCATATCTATTCACCTTGAATAGTTGTTGCTTTTTTCTACAATACACTTTACTATAGGTCAAGCCGGCTACTCTGTATATAAATATGTTCCATATGGCCCAGTCGAAGAGGTTTTACCTTATCTATCCAGACGTGCACTAGAAAACGGTTCAGTTCTACAGTGTACATTAAGAGAACGCCAACTTTTATGGTCTGAATTAAAAAGACGTTTACTTAGTGGACAGTTTGTCTATAAACCATAAACCACCAAGTCATTTCATTCCTCTTGCTATCTGCTATTAGAATCGTCTATCCCCTTTGGTATTTTTTGATCATTATTGTTTCCTTACTGCTTTGTAGCTTGCCATCTACAGATCTACGCTTACATGTACGTCGTTTTTGTACAATTTATACTTACATACAATTATTCATCTGATTAGTCTCTCTTTTTTCTTCGCTTTAATGCTCTGATAAGTGTTGTTATCAAAAATTCAGGTTATTATTCCCTAACATGTATTCACTTATACAAACAATTCTCATTGGAATGAAATATCTAATCATTTTCATGCCAATTTTCCCCATTTCCAGATAAAAATCACACTGCTTTTTCATGCTTTTTGTGTGTTTTTTTATCTATTTGAAAAGTTGTTTCTAGCTGACCGATCAAAAGTTATTAAAGTCTAGTCATAAGTCAGTCTACTAGTAGATGATCTAGTGGGGACACCATGACGATTCCACTTTTCAGTCTATAACTGATGCCTTAAAATGTGAATTGAACGTTAAGCCTGCCTCTAAGTAACAGTTCTTTAGGATGCGTGGTGGGTATTCCAATTATCAAGTTGTCGTCTATGTGTCGGCATAGAAAAGAGATAGTTGCAATAAACAAGATATTGGTGAGAAGTGACTGAATGTTAAGTGACATCATACGTTTATGAGAAACGCTTACGTCGCGTATACAGTCAACAAATTCAAGTTAGTCTAGCAGATAGTGGATAAACACTCCTCCTCATACAGTCTTTCCGAGTTCGGCCAACCATTTTGAAATTGGAACTTAAGGAGATAGACAAGTCTATGAAGGGACGAAGGAGTACACTAAACTTGTGAATTTTCACCAACCGATACAGAGGTGACATTTTCGAACCCATTAGTTTGATACGTTTGTAGAGGTCGTCCGTTATTAGTTGATCACTTTTCAATCTTCTCAAAACATTAGTAAGTTGTTGTTCAACTGCTTCCCTCTTATTTTCCTTCGCAAGCTAACAGAATTTATTATCTTCAAAGAATAGAGCCACCATTTTGTCTATGTAAACATTTCGGTCCAGGATAGCCACCCTCATCCGGACTAGTTATCACCAAATCTTTGTTCCATCTCAATTATTTCAGTGCTTCTCTGTGCTGTTTTGTTAGGAGACTGTTGATTTTGATTTTGTGCTGAAGTGTTGACAGCAGCAGTCTAGAATGGTTGATTTGAAGCGTTTAAACTCCTAGTCAGAAGTCGGTAGGGGATCATTAGTCTAGTTGACGAAATTTCCAAACTGCACGCGTGTACGAAGTTTGTTAATGTTTGGGTTCACATTGCAGAATTTCGACGTTACAGACAATGTCTTGAGTTATAAACTGAACAATGATCTTCGACAACGATTTTTTGGGATCGTCAAAATATTTACTTTGAGACTTTTGATAAGGTTAGATTAGGAACAAGTTATTCAGCGAATAGACTCTTTTTAACGAATTTACTTTCAATCTGTACGTTCGTATACATATATAATATTTGAGAAATTATATCCAGTGAGGAAACCGATGATATGATGTTACTTGTATTATTCCGTCGTTGATTGAACTGAATTGATCGATCTCTATTACAGGCAAGCAACATTATATAAACTATACTCAGCGCACAAAAATTGGCTATCGTGATTCGGTGGCTCAGTGAATGACACTTCAGCGTTTGAAGTGGTCAGTCCCAGGTTCAAGTCTTAGTATGAACAACATCGCTCACTGAGAGGCAGGTACATTTAGTTGACGTGTCCTAAGTAGGACGAAACTTGCATTCTGGATTCGATTGTTAGTCCATATCCATCATTAATACTTTGTGGTGATAGTAATAATAATGTCGGTGATCTTGATAACAGTTGAAGTATGGATCATAACAAATTTGATCTTGTAATACATAGAATGATTCATAGAATTTACATAACTCAGAAAGGGGTGTAAATTTCATGAAAGTGGTAAATCAATAAAGTATTACGCAATAGGATCAGACAGATTGGTCAAAATAAAATCAGTGTCTTCTGAAAAAGATTAAGACAATTAAATGAAACGACACCGGAAACTGTTCAAAGTAAAGGTAGTTATAATAACGATAATTATGATAAAGGAAGAATAAAAATATTAGTTAAACAAAGGGAGTCAAACTAGCAGGAGTGGAAAGATGTCATGGTAAAAGCGGTAACTAGTTTATATACTTCTTTTGTACACACAGATCAGGCTTAAGATCATGAATAGCTAAGGCTTCCGCTGTTTTAAGGAGTTGAAAAAGAATAAAACGTGGGAGGTTCGGGCAAATTCTATAAACAATTTTAAAGTCATTATCTGAGTTTGTGGAATGATAGAAATCAACCAACTATTCTAGAATAGAACTTCTAACCGATTTTCTTTCACCTTTATACAACCAAACTAGATCGCGCTTTTGTATACGTGTAAAAAACATTCCCTGGTTACCTCCGATGTGTCTTGCTCCACAAGAGCATGTGAACTTGTAGATGCACATAGAAGCAACCAGACGAGGCAGCTTATCCTTCACACAAATGGAGAATAGGTTACGGCTGGTAAAAGTCAATTGAGGTCTTATTAAGAGGGTAACGTTCTAGTGACTGAGTTACATAGACGATTCTTGAGTACATCTAACGCTTCGTTACATTTAAATTCGACGTTCATGAGAAGTGTTTTCTTTGGAAGTGAGTGAGTGACCTATTTCGTATTTCTTTCTACAATATTCTTGTTAATGAAACGGCATAAGCAACCCTTTTCCATCAGCGTGCGTTTTAAAAACGATAGCTGTGCATCCATACATTCTTCAGTGCAGATATTTCTTATTCGATAGCAGAGAGAGTGAATAAGATTTATTTTCTTATTGACAGGCACCCAACTATAAAAATTAGTTAGTTGTCCATCCCACGTTGCTTTTCGATAGATGGATCTTTTAAGGAACCCATTTTTACGTCTAGTGAGAAGAACATCAAGAAAAGGAATAATTGATTCTGATTCCTTCTATAAAGTTGGATTGCACTGGTTGAGTTCACTTTTTAGTAATCTTGCTGACACATTCAGTAAGTAATTGGTAAGTAAGTAATTGTTCGCAGACTACAGAGGATCATTGTAATACAACAACAAGGTAAGAAGAAATGGGACAATATTGTGGCTAGTAAAAGTACTGGAGAGAAGAGGAAACAAACAAGTGAGGTTAACAATGTCCTGAAAGAATGTGAGCATCGGGTGTAATTTGATCATTATAAAAACAGGAGGGTATATTCTACTGTAGGAACTATGGTTTATACAGTGAAACGTTCAGAAAATTTTTATTTTACTTTCTTAAAAACCCTAGGATTAGCGTTATAGCCTGTCATTTCCCGTCGTTGGTTGAACCGAATTGATCGGCTGCTAATGGCATCTGGGCTCCTGTGCAGGTGTTTTGATAACGCCGAAACTGTATCAAAACTTACTTTTTTAAAACAATTAGTTCCCTTGATAAACTTCGACAAAACAATAAGAAGACGTAAATTGTCTGAACCGTGTAATGTATTTGCGCAACACATTTCGAACTATCTGATCACACACGTACTTGTCATAGGTATTTATATAAAAATTCATGAAGATAAGGGGTGAGAAAATAAAAAGGGGGTCATGTAGGAAGGCTGACTTAAAGGCCGAATAACAATGAAAATCAATAGGGCGAAAAAATAATAGTACATCGAACTTGGTTTTTCAATAGTTGAATTTACCAAGGAAGGTTTAATGTGACAACAAATTGTTTATGAATACTTTTTTACGAACAAGTGAGGATTATGGCAGCACCTAGAATTTTCTACATGTCAGTGACTGTATGTATATATCTGTAGACCAAACCTTTTCAGTCGTATGTCAAGTACTAAATATTATCTTCGGAAGGAACATGACGTCTTTTGTGCTTATTGGAAGTCACAGGAAGTAATAATAAAGTGAATCTTAACGTCATCCACACAACTACTAAAATAACCGATAACGTTTCTACACTCCAGCCGAAAAAAAGAAAACCTAACTGGTTATCATTTCAGACGACTGCATGGCTTTTGAGAGTTACTCAGTAATAAAGTAAATCTGGATTAATGTATGTCTATCCAACAGTATAGAACCAATATTTTGTTAACTTTCTTTGTCCTTTCCCTTTCTTCCACTAAAACATTAGCGTTTAAACTAATTATTGATTTATTGTTAACCCATTGTACTATTATTTGCTTCTATTAGTCATCTCTTGCCTTCACATAAAGCCTATAACCTTTTGTTATGGTGGTTACATGACTTTTGTTTATTCTCTGTGGGCTTTAAGCCACTCACTCATACCTTGAAATCTTCATCTATTCATCTTATAAACTTTACGCAAATGAACGCATATATACACTAAATGTCAATCGCATACACTTAATCACAATTAACTATCTAATTGTGAATGTGTTTAGGTTGTTGATCAGCATGAATCTAGTCACTGTTTCGTTTTAAATCTAATTATATTCAATGCCATTTATTGATGAAGTGGTATTCATCCTAGTGACTTAAAGATGGGTCCAGTCTATTCATTTTGTTCTGCCTTACACGACTAGTTTGTAAGGGGAACTAAACATTTGTAACTGTAGTACTACAGGAGAAGTTACTGAAAACATATGCTAGTGCACATAATTCTCTTGTTTTGTACATTTAATACGAATATTTAAACTCGTAACATCTTGAGGTTTTCAGATAGACAGCTGACCCGTCTGTATACAGATTGAACTAACAGTTTAAGACTCAGGGGACATTTGGTGTCGAATATTAGTCTGTCACCTCCAGCTTTGCTCCAACACAAATACTTGTTAAACCAAAATTTATTGTCAAGGATTACGGTGGGCTGATATAATTAATACATATCGCTACCATCTCTGATGGTGAAAGTTGCCAAGTGGAGCTGTGGTTCATTGATTTAGGGAGGTGACTTTCAACCAATGGGTCACAGGTTTAAAAACCGCTCCACCTTTCTAGGTTTGGGGTGACAGGTAGAAGATTAACCTTCACATAATAAATGTGGTTAATTGTACAAGGTTGCTGACTGAATTTTGATTTTTCGATTCGAAAGTTATCAACTCTAACGAATGAATAAGTTGACTTCTTTGCTGATTACTCTACTCCTAAACTGAAAAATTACTTACAGTCCTGCTCTGAAGGTGTCTGTGATTTAGAAAACCTTTTCCACCTTCAGTGGGAATGCCTCAGCATTGTACAACAGGACAGAAAGAAATAATGGACAATATACTCCTTTGATACCAAGGAAAAGTGGGCATTTTGCATCCAAATTGGGATTTCCTGACCAACCCCACTGAATTTAGGTTGATTTAGCTTCTCAAATAAGTGAAGTGGTCAGTACATCCAATCA